ATGATGAGGACGTCCAGGAAAGGTAAGGACTTATTCTCTTCCATTTCAATCTTGAACCTAATGTTTCTATCACGCTGGTTGAGTAAAAATAGAAAACTAGCTAAATTGTCCTTACCATGAGGCCAGATGACGAAATAGTCTTCCATCTATCTAACTAACAATTTAGGTGTTAATATTTCTTTTTGTAGTAACTGTTCCTCCAATTTTGCCATATAATTATTCGCTAAGACGCGAGACAGGCAAGATCCCATCGCTAATCCTTGCGTTTGTTCTTATAACTTGCCATCAAAGGTCAAATATGTGGTACTAATACACAGATTAATAAGTCTAATACTGGAAGCAGCTCTCAGCCTTATTCCTTGTATTATCTCTAGATGCTCCTCCTGAAATTTTATCAGAGCTTGAATAGCTCCTTGCACAGGAATGTTTGTGTACATACACACAACATCAAAGCTTACTAGCATATCCTCTTCAGCAATTGTCTGTTGATCTAGCAATTTCACAAAATCACACGAATTTTTAACTGAATATAGCCAATAGTTGGCAGAATTCCTTAGTTGTATGCATAAAAAACGTGAGATTTTATGCATCACGCTTCCGTTTTTATTTAAAATTAATCTCTTTGTGTACCTTAGGGAGACCATAAGCGGTGGGGATCCTTGCATCGCTCTGGAGTAGTGAATTCATTTTCCACTTCTACATTTCACCGTGAGGGCATCTTTTAGCCTAGTCTTAAGGGACCGCTTCAGAGGCTGATAATAACAGTTTTGTTTTTCATACAACTGCACCTCCACCAGACGGCAGGCTTCATTCAATGAGATGTATTCACCCTATTTCGTGTAAGGTGATGAAGGACTGGTAATAGAATTTTCCCACTCCCACCAAAAGTATATGATATAGCAGAGGCCTGACCTTACACGAAATAGGGTGAATACATCTCGTTACACTGATTTACTGGTAGTCTCGAAACCCTACTCTAATACGAATATAGGCTTCATTCAGACAAACATGAAGTGAGCTTCGTGTCATTTAGCGGCAGAAGAGTGCTCCTGCACATGTCGCGATGCTGCCTACTCAAGCAGTCTTTGCTCACTTCTGTCATTCCATTTCCAAGGCTGCTTGCCACTTGCCGACTCAACCGTCATCTTTAAGACACACTCTCACCACCATAGTTGACCAGAGACTGACTGGGAAGAAGTCTTACTGGTTACCCTCGACGAGGGTACCATTCATCTTTGCTTATTCTTTATTCTCGATCCAATTGACACATTTCTGCCATTTGCATATCAAGTCTGTGCTTTGGCGGATACGAATCCGGCTTTTGTCGTCAAGACCAGTCTCCTCTTTTCGCCTGATTACTTATGCCGATAATAGCTGCATCTCAGACCTGATGAGCGCTCTTGCCAACTGCTCGGAGCCACTGGGTGCATACAGCAACCTTGCGCCCCACCGAATTGCGGTAGAGGCCGCATGTGCTGGTACGACTATCATGTCGTGTCCCTGTAGACAGGCCGGATTGTAATGAAAGTCTCGCGGTAACACTGCTTAATTGAGCCTCGTCTCTTGTCAACCGGCTTGTTGGGGGTCTGCTGTCGTCTGAGTCGACTAACTGATGTGACCAGAGCTGAATCTCATTTTTATGGCGAGATCAAGCCGCCATCGAGACGAGCACACTAACCGTTTCTACGCTATCTGATATAAATATATATTAAAAAAATGATTTAGGCAAAAGTATAGAAAGACTTAAATAATTCACTCGCATAGCCACCTTTGCATGTGTACATTTGTGTGTGTGTGTGTGTGTGTGTGCATATGTGTGTACGTGCGTGTGAACGCGAGAACACAATGATGGTCTGCAGGTCGACATCTGCTCCGGGTCAGTACGGTTTGATGGCCTTTTCGACTCGGGCTAACGTATCTCACACCCAGTGGGATTCCAACCCTTGGATGTACGAGCACGTGTGCAGCTCGCATCAAAGACATATTCGACATTTTGTGAAAAATGTGGTACTGATGAGCAAATGTGTGTTCACGAGTGACCTGCACACGATACGAAATGCTATTAAATGTAATGTCTTGAGAGACCAGAAGGGTAGAAGCACCCAAACGCAACTCACACAATTGTTGAGATTACTTCCAGTTTTAGTGAAAGTGTTTGCCGAAAAGATTCGAAGGTCGATCCCAGCAGAAGACGACGACGCATTCCTATTGCCCAGCTGT